TTAATTGAGAATTGCCTATGCTTGGGCTAAAATAAAATATGACAATGCACATGAGCCAGTTTCAAAAGATACAGATCTGTATTTGTAGTTTAAGAATGAAAATACAGCTTATTAGCTTACTGATACATACACATCAGAAGTCCAAATTAGAAACTCATGATACTAACAAAGCATGTTACTTGTATAGCTCTGTACTTCCCTACACGCTTTAATAATTTGTATGTGAAGTTGTATTTAATTTGCTTTTTGGCTTCATGTCTGCCTTTTAATATTTAAAATTATGCTAACATTGTTGTATATTTGGATAGAATATTCACATTTATCTTATGGACTCCTTAGAGCAATCCCAAAATGGGGGAAAAAAATGAATGAAAGCTGAGATACCTTGATATTAAGCAACTTCTTGAGGCTACTTCATGTTAAGTTACTTGCTAGTTAGTGGTACATCTTGCTCAATACTCGTTATGGCAGTAAAACCAAGAGCAGATATTATCCACGTATTTTTGTTTGGAGTTCATTTATTTTGCCTCTCCTTCATTTTTTTTGGCATCTGTGTAGGTTAGTAATCTATTGGCTCTCAGCCCCAAATTTCCTGTTTTTTACTCTGCTTTGTGATGCTGGTATTTGGATCCTTTAAATCAAGTTTCCTTTACTAACTGGCTTCTTGTTAGGTTCTGCCAACAGGGGACACTAGAAGGAGACTCCTTCCCCTTTTGTTCCCTATTTCTTTCAGCATCACCCCAGCACCATTTCTGCACACTGGCAGTGGAAGGTATTTCCAGTTTTATCTTCAACTTTCAGAGCCAGCCTTATCACCTTCTCTCAGAGATACTAACACTGGCTGTGTGGTACCCTTTCCTCAAAAGTCCAAGTCCTAACTCTGTGGGGCCCTCCTCCAAGTTCCTGGGGTACAAGTACCAGCCGGGTAGCACATTCTCCTCAGAGGTTTCAGTCCCAGGTCCATGGGCACCCTTCTTCCAAGCTTTTAGGTTCAGACAACCTCAGCTTCTTTCCTCTGTTTAGGCATGGTAGCTGCTTCCTAAAGTTTTTATCTCTGTTACCTCAGTGTTCAACTTTTTCCTTTTCAGTCCTCTAAGAATCTAATTCTTTATATTAAATTCTCTGTTAAAATAAGTGACGTGGTTTCAGTTTTCTTGAGTTGGCTTGAATGATAAAACCCCTGACCGTGGTTCAGAAAGTAGTCTTAAATTTGTTTAGGTCAAAGATGGTAAAAGGGTTTCATCTTACATGGAAACTCCAAATTATTAATGGCTTGCCCATTTGCAGTCAGTCCCAGTCCAGGCAACCACTGTCACTTATCTATATAAGCCTCTTTTTCTAGAATTCAATATAAATGGAATCAAACAGTATATACTGTTGTGTCTGGCTAATTTCACCTAATATAAGGTTTTTGAGATGCATCCATATTGTTGCATGAATCAGTTCCTTTTAGTTCTGCATTGTGTTCCTTTTAATTCTACATAGTGTTCCATTATATTAGGAATAAAGCTGCTATGAACATTCATGGACAAGTTTTCGTGTGGACATATGCTTTTATTTCTCTTGGGTAAATATATAGGAATGTCAACAGTGTGGTGTATGGTAAGTATAAATTTAATTTGTAAGAAATTGTCGAATTGTTTTTCCTAAGTGAGCTCCAATTGCTGTATATCCTCACCAACACTAAGTATTGTCAGCCTTTTTAATTTTAGCCATGCTAGTGAATGTTGTACTATCTCACTGTGGTTATAATTTGTGTTTCTCTGATGACTAATAATGTTGAGCTTCTTTTCATATGTTTACTGACCATTCATATACAACTCTCTTAAGCTGCATATAACTTCTGCATTCCATCTGTATGACATACAAGTGATGCCCATGACTATTAGCCTTACTCCAGAATGCCAGTACATCTGTTCCACCAACTTAAAAATAACTAATCAACCTATTGCTCTTGGTAGGAGCTTTTGTACTGTAATAATAGGTACACTTTTAATTCCTTGAGTTTTATTATAGTAGCTGGTCAGATTCTCCTCACAATTTCTACTGAGGACTTAGAGTTCATCAAATGTTTGTTTTTAGGTTGTAAAATCTCTCCAAAATACCCTGTCTTTGCCTTGAAAATACTGATACAATGTGAATCAACACATAATTCTCAATATTGATTAAGAAATCTGTAGCAGAAGTTCTTAAAGCATGGTCTCCGACCAAACGAGCAGCATCAGCATCACCTGGGAACTTGTTAGAAATGCAGTTCTAAGCTCCCACTCCATACCTACTGAATCAGAAACTCTAGGTATGGGGCACAGCAATCTGTGTTTTTAACAGGCCTTGCAGGTGATTCTGAAGTAAGTTAAAGATCGAGAACCACTGGTAATAGAGTGACTGTATGAATGTTGTTGAAGTCTTACTGTTTGTGTGCTTACATATTTCAATTCAATATTGATATTAGTTATAATATCTTAGTGTTATAGTTAGTGTTAACTAAGTTTTTGGTGTTTTTACTTTATGTCCACACATGAAATAATTTTAATGCTACAAATTAGAGCAAAACTTAAATGACTCCAAAGTGGAATTTCTACTTTCCACCCATTAATTAGTGAATAAACATCATTTGAAATTTTTCTCTTTATTTTCCCAAATATGTACTGTAATGTACTTCTGAATTAAATTTTTTATTCCTGTTTGGTTCTGTTATTTCTCAGGACAAAGGTTATTTTTCACATATATGTACAACATACACATTTCTAATGTATTAATACATGTTTGAATTTTTAATCAGTTTCAAGGTGCAGTCTACATTCAGTTATCTTTGTAAATATAGGGAACCACTCATTTAGATACAAATGACAGATTATATCATGTTTCAGTGGTGGAGTAGATCTGCTAAGCGTTAGATAAAAATGCACTATTAATTGAGAATTGCCTATGCTTGGGCTAAAATAAAATATGACAATGCACATGAGCCAGTTTCAAAAGATACAGATCTGTATTTGTAGTTTAAGAATGAAAATACAGCTTATTAGCTTACTGATA